ATGATATACTCTACAAAGACCACAGCACGGCCCGGTCCTTACCTGATCTTACTGTGAAGTCCACCAGACCTCAATCCCTGCCCACACACAGAGCTGATCCTTAAATACAAACGAGGAGGAACGATCACTAAACCTTAGAGGAGAACATCCAGTTAAAAGAGAGAGACCAAAACCAACAGAGGAAGTGACACAGAACAGACACGAGACATTCAGGGAACATGAAAGAAGCAACACAGAAAAGAATGAAGGAGGCTTTGACATTCACAAAAATAAATACCAAATGTGTATTTAAATACCCTTTTAGTTGACAGAATAAGCACAATTTAAAAAAAAAAAATTTAAATATCAGAGCTGGGGCTAGCAGGTGGCATGGAGGTTAAGGCATTGGATTCCACATGACCAACTGCACGGTTTGAGTCCCGGACCCTGCAGCTTGAAAATTACACAGAGCACATGTGCAAACATGCCCAAAATCCCAAAAGGAGAATGGAGGAGAAGGGACTGCTGCATGGCCATCACCCTCTCGGGGGTGATTTATCGCTTTTCTTCTCTCTCTCTGGTGAGTGTGCACACCCTATAGCAAAGGAAAAAACTAACCTAACTATAAATAGGAGAGCAGAAAGTAAAAGTTCCAAAGAAAGACTAGAAGATGTAAATTAAAGAAATCTACCAGAAAGTAGAAGAAACAATTGAAGAGAAAATAGGAGTTCCTTGGGGCAGCTGGTGGCATAGTAGATAAGGCAGCTGGATCCCACATGACTAACCATGCACTTCAAGTCCTAAACCCAGCAGCTTGAAAAACACACCAGGCATGTGTGTATGTGTGCCCAAAATCCCAAAAGGAGAGAGAAATGGAGGAGGAGGGATTGCAGCATGACCATCCCCCATGGGAGATACTTCATCACTTTTCTTTCTCTCCTCTCCTCTCCTCTCTTCTCCTCTCCTCCTCTCTCTCTCTCTCTCTCTCTCTCTCCCTCTCTCTCTCTCCCTCTCTCTCTCTCTCCGGCAAGTGTATACACCCTCTGGCAAATTAGTAAAAAAATAAAAATAAAAAAAGGAGTTACTGAAAGAGGGGTGATAAAACAGAATACTGATCTATGAACCAATATGACAGGGGTGTTTGAAAATTTCATGGAAAATGCATATTCCATAAAATAACTGCATTGAAATTTTTTGGCACCAAAATTAACTCATACTTGAACTCCATTTTTACACAAAATTTTTGAAGTCTCCTTACACAAAAACAATAAGAAAATGTATGAGAAATAAAGCACCATCACCCAACTGAAAGAACCCAGCAAGTGCCCAGCACAAAGAGTGAAAAAAGAACCACCCCGTGGCATGTGGTGTAAAACTGTCAAATACGGCAGTATAGAAAACTGTAAAAGCTTCCCGAGACAGAAAACGAAAAGAGGACCTGAGTGAGGGCAGGGCAGCACAATGACGCTAGGTCCTTTGGGTTTTGCTTTTTTGTTTTTCTGTTATTTTTTTCAGGTGTTTTTTTTTGGGGGGGGTGGTGGTTGTGTGTGTGTGTTTGTTTTGTTTTGTTTTTTAACGTGACCAGTGAGAGAGAAAAAGTGAGAAAGTAAGCTGCAAGGTCTGGGACTTGAACCACAGTCAGCCATGTGGGAGTCCAGCACCGTAATCACCACACCAACTGCCAGTCCCTCCAGGTTTTGTTATAGGGCTTACGCACTTGTCAGAGACAGACAGAAAAGGAGGGAAAAGGAGAATTCACCTCCAGGAGGGATGGCCACACAGCAATCCCTACTCCTCCATTCTCCTCTTGGGATCTTGGGCACCCATGCACTGCGCCCAGAGTGAATTTCAAGCCATGGGGTCTGGGACTCGAATCTTGCAGCCAGCCATGTGGGATCCAACACCCTAACTCCCACCTTTTGACTGCCACACTGGAGGCTAGGA